TGTTATATGGCGAAGAATTTACACGACGTCTATAGGAACTACTTGACAATGCGTCTGGGCATTGTAATGATGTACTTACTGGACTACACTTGTATAATATATCTGACCCAACCTTTTCAGGTTTACTTTTTGTCTAGGATAATTGTAATACCTAGACTTCATTGTCGGGAAATTAGCTTGGGAACGCAACACCTTCAAATACCCAACAAAAGCATCTATTAGTGGCCAGTCTATATTCGGTGCATTTCATGAGTGCTTTTACATTTTATGATAAAACATCTGCAAAACTACAACTTTGGAAATTAACATATTCTGACAATCGTGAATTAAGAATGACATAATCATTCATCAGTGAAATACCCCCAATAAAGGCCGTTATTTATACCCCCGATGCTCTCCTAGTTCGTGGTCCAACGTTGAATTGGCACTTCTTTAAACAATACTTACAATGCTGCTAATCTACACTGCTGAGGATCCATTACAATATGGAAGGGGCGGTGGGGTAGCCTAGTGGTTAAAGCGTTGGCTCGTCACGCCGAAGACCCGGGTTCGATTCCCCTGATTGGGCACAATGTGTTAAGCCCATTTCTGGTGTCCCCCGCCGTGATATTGCTGGAATATTGCTAAAAGCGGCGTAAAACTAAACTCAGTCAGTACAATAGGGAAAGATCAATGTGTATCATCACTAAGTCAGACTTTAGTATTCTCGGTATGGAGTAAAATCCACAAAATGGGTTGTTTCGTCCTATTTTATAGGGCGGTGGGGTAGCCTAGTGGTTAAAGCGTTGGCTCGTCAAGCCGAAGACCCGGGTTCGAATTCCCACATGGGTACAATGTGTGAAGCCCATTTCTGGTGTCCCCCGCCTTGATGTTGCTGGAATATTGCCAAAAGCGGCGAAAAACCAAACTCAGTCAGTCAGTCCTATTTTATAAAGTCACAATTATTTATATAGTATTAAGGGAATATGAGAACTATGATACTTGAATAGAAGATGTTTTGAGTCAGTCAGATGTATACACCAATATCCCACCATATTCCTATGCCTCACACTATGTCTGTTAATTTGATTCCGACGTTACTTATGGACATGAGAGATGTGATGAAGTAAGATACCTGTAATGTTATCGGAATTACCGGAATGCACAAAGGGAAAGCGGGGAGACATAATTTGAATAAATCCAGTCCGTCAAAGACAGAAATCCTCCAAATTATGGCTCCACTACATGACTAGTTAGTTGCTGCCCCCACTGACATCAGCGCGCTTAAACAAATGTACCGCCAAAACTCTGTTTCAAAGATTAACCATATTCCTTATACATTACAGCAAGAGCTTTCATTCACAGGAAGTATTCGAAACACGTGCCAATAACAGGTCAAACGATTTGCTTGGTCGTTTTTCAGTATCAGACAACAGCCGCTATCCTTCATAACAAACTTAAGGAAAAGAGAAAGTACTAGAATTTGTACTTTGCTAAGAAAGTGTAATCCCACACATAACATATGTTGCGTTTGACCACTCTCTAAATGGCATTGTGTCATCAAAACTTAAGGAAAGACTTCATTACTTGATCGTTAGGGCTTTTGTTACAAGAAGCGACAAAACCCTTTACACATTCATCACAGTCCATTGTGCAATTGTGTCTATGTCGTGAGCAGATATTTGCTTCAGCAGCATATATAGGGTCAGAGGTTAAGAGCAGTTTGTTAGCGAAAGTGCTGAGCAAACAATATTCCAAAACATGGACTTCTCATTGATAGCTTTCATGTAACGAAACACACACAGGAACACCACAGGACCCACTCTCTGGTTCAGGCCTATTCCACCCCATACCATGATGCTTGCACCTCCCCATGAGTCTCTTTCCATAACACATTGGTCTGAGTAACGCTGGCCACGTCGTCGCCATATTCTTGTTCTGCCATCTGCATTTGATACGCAGTACCGACTCTCATCTGTGAACAGAACAGTTCTCCATCGCCTGTATCTCCAGTTTTGGTGTTGTTGGGCAAACTGTAGACATTCACGCCGATGACGAGGGGTTAGGATAGGTCCACGGTAAGGTCTGCGGCAATGGAGGTTCAAGCTGTTAAGACGTCGGCGTACTGTATTAGTACTGATTGGTCTTCCGTGTGTTCCCAGTGTCTGGCGTGATGTTTCGGATGCCTGCATGAAGGGATTCTGTACATGCTGTCACACAACATGGCGGTTTTGTCGTCTTGTGGTCACCCTTGGTCTGCCAGTACGGGGGCGATCAATTGTGGTGTTGGTGTTTGATGATTTTAAGAGGGGGTGGGGTATTTTGTTCTGAGAGTTGGAGGGGCAGCAATTTGTACATAAAAATGTGTTTAATTTATAACTTTATGCTTGGACATTATGGGGAGGTGGTGTCATTAATTTTGTACATACATTTAAGGAGGGGTCACTCTCATTTTACATGCTTCTCCATAAAAATCATCATCATCGGCACCGTATGAACCAGGAGTTTGTATTTTGGGGACGAGTGCGACCAAACGTACCTAAAGTCGACTTTTGTAGGGAGATTTGCGAAAATTACGTGTTGTGCAATAAACGCAAAATGCATGTGCGGAAAGGGTATAAAACCATTGCATGCGACAGGTGGGCGCGTGACATTACAGAAAACCACAAAAGAAATGTCACGTTTAAGTTCAGCAGAACGAGAGAGGGCTATAGGAATGCTACAGTTTGGGGCTACAACTGGTCAGGTTGCTGCAACGTTTGGTTGCTCCATAGTTACTGTCAGGAACCTTCGCCAACGCTTCAATCAGTCTGGTCACACATCGGACAGGCCACGGACAGGCAGACCCCGGGTAACAACAGCAGCGGAGGACCGACATCTGAGAACGTTGCATTTGCGGAACCGCTTCCTGATGGTGGCGGCATCTTCGGCTACGGCACTCGGTCACCCCGTGAGTCGATGGACAGTAACAAGAAGACTTCGTGCCCATGGTATCAGATGTTATCGACCACATTGGGGTACGCTGCGAACGGATAGACAACGCCAGTTGAGACTACGCTGGGCCAGACAGGTCAGACGTTGGCAGCTACGTTACTGGCGTAGGGTACTGTTTTCTGACGAAAGCAGATTCTGTCTATCGAGGCCCGACTGCGGAGTATACAGGAGGAGAGGTGAAAGAACAGCTCGTTGTTGTGTACAGGAGTCGGAGCCGTATGGTGGCGGTAGCGTCATGGTCTGGGGTGCCATATGCGGTGACCAGAGGACTGACCTTGTCGTCAACGGTGATTAAACTGCACAACGGTATATCGATGAGGTGCCGAGGCCCGTGGTCCTGCCATTCATACAGCAACAGCCACAGGGAGTCGTATTCCAACACGACAACGCTCTCCCACACGTTGCTAGGACTGTACAGAACTTTCTGAACGCCAACAACGTCAACGTTTTGCCATGGCCAGCTCGCTCCCTGACTTGTCACCTATCGAACATTTATGGGATCAACTCGATAGACAGATTCGGGGAAGACAGAATCCGCCAATTACAAGACAGGAGCTGGCACAGGCCCTCGTCGAAGAATGGAGGCGTATCCCTGCTGACGTCATCAGACGCTTGACCACTTCAGTCTTGAGACGTGTTAATTCATGCATCCAGGCCAGGGGTGGACAAACTCGTTATTAGAGGATTCTCATTATTTCTGTTTCCTGTGTTGCAATCGTTAGGAAAATCTCTTATTTTCAGCCCATGTGTACAATTTAATGTGTACAATTTCGGTTGAATAGTTTGTTTTGATTTCGAAATTCTGTGTTTAACACGTGTGTAAATGATTTGTTAAAAGAGTAAACCGTTTACTTTTCACTTCGTTGTTGTTGCTTTTGAATATAATCAATATCAAAGAAGAGAAAGTTTCTGTTGCACGTCAGTATTTCAATGGTTCTGTCATTTATTTTTATATTGATTGGTTGATTGTTGTTAAACGTCGCTCTCAGCAATATTCCAGCTATATGACGGCGGTCTGTAAATAATCGAATCTGGACCAGACAATCGACAGCATGAGCATCGTACTACTCAATTAGGATACGATGGCATGTGTCAACCAGGTCAGCGAGCCTGACCATCCGATTCCTTTAATCGCCTTTTGCGACAAGCATAGGTTACTGAAGACCAATTCTAACTCGGATCTTCACGTTTTTTTTATCAAATCCATTTTTAGACACTGGGTTATAGTGTTCTACAAATCAAAGAAAACATACTATGGATGATATGTAAATGCCACCACTGTGGACAGTGCCAGTATCACTATTAAAGGCTGAGTAACAGTGAGTATACGCCGAGCTGAGAGTTATGTTAACAAGTGGATCCGTACTACCTGAGGGTCTGTGTCTCCTCAGGCTACTGATCCTCGCTCGCGACAACACTGCAGTCGGAGTCACAGGTTTGACAGATGATAATATTTATGACGTCACTATTGCTGGGGATTTCTTAGGCAATTGAACACTATGAGGAGTGTAAAACCCGTGGATCGAATGCCCGAGACCATGAGGGTTTATTTTCTGACTTAAAAACCGAAGCAAAAATCTTAAACAAACATTGTCAACTACTTCATGTTTCCAACACTCTCCGTAAACCGTCGGAAACGGACGAAATATATATCTTGCTAACGTTCAAGCTCTGGACAATGAGAGGCGATTGTTGTTGAACATTGCACTTGCATAGTGCATGCATAGTGCATGGGCTTATGTAGCCAATATATTTTCCGATGAAAGTGCATGTTAATTGTTGGAACCACTGATAATTGTAAGCAGTATTGCATATGGATTCAGGAAAAATCATGGTTCCATTTTTTCTGATGATTAGAAGTGTCATTCTGGGGTAACTGAACATCGGTACTGTCGTAAGAAATGCCAACATGAAATCGTCAGGATTCTGAGACGTGTAATTGTACACCTCGAAAAACGTGTCTAATGAACACGTTAGTTTCTCAGTAACTTAGTGACAAATGATTAATGTGAAAACATCCACACATCTCAAGGCAGACTATTTTATTGGAACAACATTTACAGTATGCAGATATGCGGGTGTACATGAAAGGCTCCGAGTAAATACAACTTTCCAGTTAAATTCAGAGGGTAACATAAGACGAAAAAGTACATATCGTGTCCCTAAGCAGTTAATGTACATGAGTTACATTGATACCACTGCATTCGGTATTACTTGCTTTAATTCAACTTGGGACACTACTTTTTGAGCAGACTTGGGCCTCAAAACTTTGTGTGCACAATGGATCGGCCCGTCTCAAAGTATTCCTGCCTGCTAATGCTCACATCTTTGAAGTTGGACTTGGAGGCGAGCATGGCACCCCCTAGCCAGGTGGAGTATTCCCTCTCTGGAGGAGCTATGATATTTATAGTGGTCGCTGATGGAGCAAGGGCTGTCAGTTCCTTCCTCATCCTGTCAGCCATACCAGGGAACATGGTGCTGCCACCCGAGAGAACGACGTTGGCATATAAATCTTTGCGGATGCCAGCGTCACACTTCATGATTGAATTGTATGTTGCCGTATGGATGCCCGGCTGGACACTACCAATAAATGATGGCTTGAAGTGAACCTCTGGACAACGGATCCTCTCTTTATCCACCGTGATTAATTCCCCGTCCGGAAGTTCGTAGCTCCCCTTCAAAGTGGTGGAAGATGCCAGTTCCTGCTCATAGTTGAGGGCCACGTACAACTGGCTTTTCTTGATTTCTTCCATGATCATTCGCTCGAAGGATTGACCCCGTTCTTTAAGTAACTTCATCAAGAGGTCACTGACATCAATACCAGCGATATCAACCCTGCTGGCGCCAGCAGCAACAACTCTACCATCAACGATAGGGACAGTATCGGTCACACCGGCCCCTGAGTCGACCACTAAGCCTGTAGTACGACCAGAAGCGTGCAACGACAGAGCAGCTTGATTGGCCAAATACATTGATGGGACGTTGAAGGTTTCAAACATAATCTGGGCCATAGTTTCTCGGTTAACCCCGGGGCTGAGGGAAGCCTCTGTCAAGAGCACGGGATGTTCTTCGGGAGCAACGTGGAGCTCGTTATCGAAAGTGTGACGCCATATCACCTCCATGTCTTCCCAGTTTGTAGCTATGCCGTGACTGACAGGGTAGTTTAGTGTGAGAATTCCTTGACGGCTAATAGCATCTTTACCAACAAAGGTCTCTTGCTGCATACCGCTACGAAATCCCTGAAAAAAACATATTTTAATGGACTCTGCGTAATTATCACATGTGTAATTAAAGGAGAGGTGTACACGAAACCGTCACATTTATTCTTATACGAAACAAAATAGCTTTTCTTTAATAAGTTAGTATCATTGTTTGACAATATGCATTCATTTTTTATTACAATGAAAGTATAACCCTCATTAAGAGCGCTGAAATGTTATGCCATTATGTGGCCTTTGTTTGCTGAGCTAAATAGGCCAGAGTTACTGCCCTTCGATTATGACGTAATTTGTGCCACTTGATTTTAGACTGGTCTCCTGTCTAGTCCCAAATCAAAAGATAACAATACTAAAATTAATCACGTGAAAACTTTGTGAAAATACGAAAGAAGCGTAAGAATTGAAAATGTAAGCAGAAGGACAGATAGATCGTGTGTATTTTATTCATAACCTCATTGTGACCAAGGGAAATGAGGAGAAGTACTATCGTCGGTGTGCGTGAGTTTGCGTCAGTCATGGCGTCACACTTTCAGAACCTATAATGTTGTGATGCATCTAAGAAATCATCGGAATACACCTATGCCATTTAACTATGCCATTTAACTATGCTACGATGCCTTTCCCATGCATGTTCTATAACTAATGAGCAAGTTTATGCAACATCTAGGCCATCGGATACACAGTATACAATCTGATAAATTTCGTTAGACGTCATACAATTTGGTTACGTGGTAGCACTTTTTGTGCAAAGTATACGTCATCACAGTGTAGAACTGACCACATAGCCAGCAGTCGGCCAGGCAACAGGTGGATTAATACAGTAGCCTGCGCATCGAACCACAAGAACCACACCTATACCTGCACCACGTGAAATGGGTCTAATAGGGTCTAACGTCATTCGTGCAACAATGACGTCATTTCCAAGGGACATAAGCCATGGTGTGTTTATTGTGGACATGGAACTCTCGGTTAATGTGGAAAATATTAATCGATATAACGCAAAAAGTAAATCAGTTTCTTCTGATATATGTATGGGTTTGGCTAAGAGACTGCTTGACAAAAAAGTGTATTTTCGTGTAAACTTGCCCTTTAAGTTTGAAAAAGTGACAAAACCCCATTTCCATAACCATAGTTCATTGTACAATTCTACTTCTTCCATAATCACGTGTTTATGACTGACCTTGAAATAGTGATAAAGTTGATTGTATCATACCCCAAACACATGTTAGTCAATTGTTGAAACGTCTTGGCCAAATTCTATAGTTCTAATTTCTGTGTAGAACGTCCAACTCGAATGCGTAACGAAAACCAGATCAACGAAGAAGGGAGGATAGCTGGTGCCCATTGGGATTCCTTCATCTTTCCTCGATGTCCTTTACCCTAATTTCACGGTGTGAGGTGAGGTGAGGTGAAATTGGGTTTAACGTCGTGCTGGAGAATATTTCGCTCATATGACGACGTGCATGCGTGTGTATGTGTATGTGCGGCTGCTTGTACTAGCCCAGACTGAAGCTGGTTTTATAGTGCTAGCCCACCATGCCGCAGTGAGGCATGAATACCCCACTCAGGCACATTATACTGACTCCGAGCCGACCAGTCCTTGTTGTACCCATTAATGCCGAGCGCCAGACAAGGACCATCAAGTACCATATTTTAACGTCTTTTGGTATGACGCGGTCGGGGATCGAACTCGCGACCTTCCGCTCTCCGGGCGGACGCTGTAACCACTACACCACGGAGGCGATCAGTTTCACGGTGTAATGTATGAGGGAGTTCAGCATTTCTTTAGACTTGAGACTTTTTAGCCAAAAAATGTATACCGGGACTCCCTATTATCGCAAATAAAACATTGGCAAAGCGGAAATATCACGGCCCGCATCGGCTGTTTTCATATGCAACTTACGTAAAATAAATTCACCGCTCTTGAAAAATTAATTTATTTCATTGGGATGTCCTGTCTAATTGTAGAAATATCAAAGTATCTATCTTTGCAGTAAGTTCTGGAACATTTTGAAATTAGTATGACCCCTACCGCCACAGCATCTTCCACAAATCAAAACTTACTTCGTCAAGAGTAATCATGCTACAACTGCAAGGGCATTTGCATATTTTCCGTTTTAAATATATAGGTGGTCGGGGGATTAATTAGTGGGAAGCCAGTGGTGAGGCAGGTGATGAGAAGGCAGGGTGGGTTGAGTGGATAATTATTAGTGGATTAAGTGGTTGTAAGCTGATGGGATGTAATAGCCCTGATCCATGATAATAGAGGGGTTAAAACGGCGTATTTGTAATGCCTCAGCAGGTTTAGGCTGAGTGTAATTAATTAATCCCCCCCACCACCTTGGCTTCTGCCTAATTAACTTACAGTCACTAATTGTCATGATAATCCCACTCATCTCATTCATGTTATCTAAGCTCATCATCATGCTATTGTAGCTCATCATGTACCTTTCTGTCATGCTTTGTTTCCCCACCTTTGTTACTGTTATCTTTTTATCTTATCTTGTATATAAACTGGTGTACTCCTTCATTCCCCAATGTGCTTGAAAACGGTATAAGAATCTATATCGAAACGTCAAAATAAAGAAAGTTGATCATCCATAAAGTCTTGTCACCCCTACGGAAACAATGATTGCTAGGCAAAATTGATATGTGCACTAGTGCACATATTGAAAATATGACATGACTTATGTTCCAACATATGGATAATAAAAAGTTCAATTACACATACTAATTGATAATAATAATAATTAGTGCATCAATATTGCGCTAAATCCACATAGACAGCATGCTTATAGCGCAGACAGTTGGTTATTACCCCGGATAACCCAAGCTGTCTGTAAAGCACTAGAAGGTTATAGTCACATGACTTATCCCACCGGGTACCCATTTTCTACTAAGTAAACAAAGACATTCTTTTATAACCTCACTTGCCTAAGGTGAGACCACATGTATCACATGTGCTGCTACTACACTTTGGTTCCCTTGACACATTTAGTGAGTCCAATAAATTAAATTAAAGCATTTACCTGGTATCTGGCGCGGCCAACAACATTTTCGAAGATAGCCATGGGTACTTTGCCACCGGCGAACCCGGCCTTACACAAAAGAGATCCGTTGTCAAGAACGACGGCAGTCATCTTCACAGACAAGAATGAGAACGAATCGTTCCTTGTTGCATGCAATCTGAATGGTTCTACGTTCATACAGAAGTTATATTAATATTATAAGACGAAAAACAGAGGCAAAATAAGGCAATATAGATGCACATCTTTCATAGTCTTTTAATTGTTGTTCATGACTCTCATTGTATAAATGCATAATGACTTATATTTATGTTTCTATGGTATGTAGAAAGGCGTATCGTTAATGCAGATGATTTATGTCTGATATTCGTTTCATCTGAAATCACACTCTCATTACATTTCCATCCTAATGGAATTACGAATGTACTTTCTTGTACATAACCCTTAATCTACTGAGGGGTTGTACAGTTTGAAATAACGCATACAGTTCACTCCTGAATGGGAGGATACGTTTCTCATATGTGTGAAGCTATTGTACCTAAACAGCGAATCGTGTAAGGGGGTGACGTCCTCATTGAGAGATATCATTCTGACCTACTTGACAAACAAAGATTTACTGTAGACGTTTTTTAAAGGGATCTATGACCCGCAAACCTGTTAAGGTAACCCTTAAATTAGGTTTAGATCGTTGTTATGTTTTGTGAAATAATCATTATCCTACATTTATGACTTACTGACTCGACACAGTAAAACAATCAGCTCACTTGACGCCAGGCTGTGTTCACATACCTCCGCATAACATCAAGTAATTTCCACAACATATTTCAGTATTATGCCATTCCGACTTTTTGGTTTCGAACTCTGGCGCAGTCAAATCAGGAGAGTGCATGTACAGCTCTAGCCACGCCAGCGAGACATTGACGGTTATGTGTCAGCAACACTAACGACAGGCCATTGCCCAGTGCAGGCTTTGGAGACATTATCGTTAGTCAATTTCAGGGTCCTGCTATGAGCAGCAAATCCTGATATTGTTATCACGGTAATTTGCCATCTGTCAAGATTTACAGGTGCGCACTACCCTGTCATCATCCCGACTGATATTGGGAAGTTATTGTTCAAGCCACGTGTTCTAATATGACCTTCAGATGTCTAGAGGCTCTGGATACATACTTGACCATATGGCCTCACTCCGATAGAACGGTGTGCTGAGGAGTTGTGATTAATGCCAACAGTCCCACCCAGAGGAACGACGTTTCTCTTCATTCATTGTCATGACAACAACACTGAAATTGCACTAATCATTGAAGTTGGAACCGACAGAATTTTTAAGTAATTGTATTTTACCAATTGTTAAAGTACTTAGCAGGAACAAAACAGTATCATTTGTGGCTCCATAAAGGTTGTGTCAGTTCAGAATTACCGCAGAACTGACTGTAAAATGAATATATCATTTACAGCTGAATTCCATATTCTTAATTCTTACTAGTTGATCACATAGGACTGAGAAGAAACACTTACATCTAAATTTATCCAAATATTTCAAGAAATATTTGGGGACAATATTAATATACTCAGCAGCAAACAAAACGTCAGTACGAAGTCAAAATTAGATAGGCACTGTAATCAAACCATTACAGAAATTGACATAATAAACGGATCAAAACATTGTTGGTGTACAATATCTTGACACACCCATGAATAACTCACACAATGAATAGCACAATTTCAAGACATTACGTGAACGTTTGCAGTCCATTCAGACTCTCGACTTCAGTATCTAGTGTGACCACCACGAGTGGCAATAACTGCAGCACAGCGTCTATGCATGGAGTGCACCAATCGATTGATGAAGGCCATTGGCACCTGGAACCACACTCTGAGAAAGGCCTGGCGCAATAAATCGGCTGTGTTCGGCCTTGGTATGACATTATTCAGTTTCCTCTGAATTTGATGCCAAAGATGTTCAATTGGGTGTAAATCAGGACTAAGGGCTTGCCACTGCATAATGTTGACACCGTTCTGCTGTAGGAAGTCCCGTGTAGCTCTGGCAGTATGGG